ATATTGTCACTGGCTTGCACTTGTGTGATGCAAAAGTGAGTTGCCACTTAGCTCAAGCCTGAATGCTGTATGCAGTCATAAAGTGTTTATTTGACTAAAGAGACAGCAATGTAAACAAATAATGTGAAATCATCAGTGAACATCCCCACTTCTTATGATGGAGGGCAGGTCCTTGATTAAACAGTTGAAGATGGTTGGGCCTAGGACATTGGCTTGAGACATTCCTGCAACAACATCCTCAGGCTGAAATTATTGGCTGTTATCAGCTATTGTCCCTTGTGCTAGGTAGGATCCTGCCAGTGGACGGTCTTCCCCCTGTTTCTTATTGATTTCAATTTTTTTGATGTCTCCTTAATGACACTCTCAGTTAAAAGCTGACTTGATATCAAGGGCAGCCACTCTGAGCTCACCTCTGGCATTCAGCTCGATGTTAGATATAGTGAGGTCTGATGCAATTGGTTGTGCTGGAACACTGAGCATTGTTGAACAGGTTGGAGGTGAATATGCTACTTGATTGTACTGTTGATGACACCTTCCATCACTTTGCAGATGACTAAGTCAGCTCCTTTTCCTAACAGCACTGTGGGTGTACCTACATGGATTTCAGGCATTGAAGGAGGCAGCTCACTGTCACATTTTCAAAGGCATTAGGGATTGGCGACTGGGCTGGCTTCCATAATGGGGAAGTTCAACAGAGGCCAAGGTGGATCTACATCACACTGAAATTGGTTGTAAATGTTTGCAATTTGCGCAGATGAGCCTGCTGTCAATTGTTTAGTTGGTAGTAGAAGTGCTTCTTGATTCACAAGGAACAGGACCAAGTCAGACTTTAGTTTTTGAGCACAAAAATTAAGGCTGACACTTCAGTACTGAAGGCTCACTCCACTGTCGGAGATGTAGACTTTCAAATGAGATATTATACTGAGGCCCCATTTTCCTTCTTGGGTGGTGTATCTGGTGATTATAACATTTCTGTTTCTAGAAACTTGCTGTGTGCAAATTGGTCGCCATGTTTTCTACATGACAACAGTGACTACACTTCAAAAGTATTTAATTGGCTGTAAATACCGAGATGCCTGATGGTCACAAGAAGTGCTCTATAAATGCAAGACTTTCCTTTTTCTTTTCATTGTCCACTACCATTCATAATGAATGTGAGAAGAGTACTCCGTATGGACAATTAATACTGGATTTATCAGCAAAGTCTACATTCCTAGAGTGAACAAAAACACACCACCATTACTTTCAGGCCAGGGAGTGAACCAAGGTATGTCATGAGTACAATTCTGCAGATGATGATCAATAGCATCTTATGAAAGAAACAGTTTTGAGATGTTAGATCAATTCTGAACAGGCACCTACCAGTGGGCATGAGGGAGACTAAAGGGCTTCTTGACACCCAAACCAAATTTTAATTTAACTTTCCTTTATTTTTTGTTGCAAGGTAATGGTGTGGCCCTTTAAAAATTAGGCAATTAATATTTTATAACACCTGCCAATTATCATTAACATAAAAAAAATCTGTTCCCATTAATGTGCCGCACCAGGGGCAAATGGTGGGGTAACGGTAATGGCACTGGAGTAGTAGTATAGAGGTCCAGGTCAATATTCGGATCTTGTGGCACAATTGTAGCATCCCTACCTTGGGTCAGGAGGTCCGGGCTCAAGTCCCCTCACATGTCCATACAGGTTTATTAAAAATAACATGTGCCACACAACTTATTGGAGAAAGTCCCCAGTGCATAGGCAGGTCTTTGTTTCCATAAACACTGCGTAGTGGTAATGTCACTGGACCAATAATCGAAATACCCAGGCTAATGCCTTGGGGATGTGATCTCAAATCTACCACGGCAGCTGGTGAAACTTAAAATCAGTGAATTAAAAACAGCTGGAACTGAAAGGTAGACTCAGCAATAGTGAGGATGAAACTATCATGGAAACCCATCTGGTTCACCGACATCCTTTTGGGAAAGACATATAAGAACATAAGAACAAGGAGCAGGAATAGGCAATTCAGCCCTTCAAGCCCGATCTGCCATTTGATATGATCATGGCTGATCTCATCTCAGCCTCAACTCCACTTTCCTGCCTTCTTTCCAAAACCATTCAACCGATTACTAGTTAAAAATCTGTCTCTCTCCTCTTTAAATTTACTTAATGTTCCAGCCTCCACTGTACTCTAAGATAGTGAATTCCACAGATTCATGACCCTTTTAGAAAAGTAATTTTTCCTCATCTCTTTTTAAATCTGTTATTCCTTATCCTAAAACTTTGACTTCTCATTCTAGATTGCCCCACATGAGGAAACATCCTTTCTATATCTGTACATCATCTTAAATATTACCCTTATATGATTTGGCATACATGTGACTCCAGACCCAGAGCAGTGTGGTTAACTCTTAACTGCCTCTGAAATGGTCTAATAGTCCACTCAGTCTTAGGGCAATTAAGGATGGGCAACAAATGCCTTGCCAGTTTTCCTCAAAGACTAAACAAAGCCTTCTACCAACACTGTGGTGGACAGATTTATCTTCAAAAGGTAAATTGGAGAGGTCAAGTAGGCTTTTCCCTCTTGTTCGTTCTCTCATCACTTATCACAAGCCCAATTTGGCAACTGCATCCTTCAGGACTTGGCCAGCTCAGTCATTAGTGTTGCTACCAGCCAATCATGGTGATGGACACTGATGCCCCAACAAAAGTACATTCCATGCTTTTGTAATTCTCAGTGCTTTCTCCAAGTGGTGTTCAACACTGAGTACTAATTGATCTGCTGAAGGTGGGTGGTAAGTGGTAAGCAGTATACTTCCTTGCCCATACTTAACCAAATGCCATGAGATTTCATAGGGTCTGGTGTCAATTTGGAGGTCTCAAAACCACTCCCTCCTGATTATATACCACTGTGCCACCACTTATGGTAAATGAGTCCCACTGGTGGGATAGAACATATCCAGGATGGTGATGGAGATGTGACCTGAAAGGGATAATTTGATGAGCATGATTATTTAAGGCTATTGTTCATCGGACAGTTCTCTCAATTTTGACACAAATGCCAAGAGGTTAGTTGGGTACTTTAGCCCATGCCAGGTGGTGTGTTCAATTTTATGCTTATTACAGGTTTATTTTGCAGCTATTGTGGTAATCAAGTGGCTTGCTAAGCTATTTGACAGGGTACTGAATTATATAATTTCATTTATACCAAATGGTTCTATCAACGTAACTGAATATGCTAAGAGCTTTATTTAAGCCTTTTTCTACATTGATCAAGAACATCTGTGTGTATAACACTGAAATGTCTCAACCTCTTCAGTATCACTCCCTGTAAGTGATATATCTATTTTGCAACATGTATGACCTTACATTTATCTATGTTTAATGCAATTTACATTGTATGACCCACTCCTGAGCATGTGAGTTCTCCAGCTGTAGTCTGCTGAGATATTCCTGGGGATCTGCAAACTGATGTGAAAGGGCCAAACAAGGTGTGTGATATGGCCAATTACCCTAGGCACTGTGATTAAGTAAAAAAGAATGAGTGAGGTCTGGAGGAAGGGAGGTGGGAGCAGAGTGCAATAACCATTGTGCTGAGGATAGGCGCAATCTTGTGTACTTAAAAGTATTGTGAAAACAGTTTCTATATACAATACTTTCATATTATGAGTATGGTACAGTGTTCTAATTTTGATCGTGGAGGGATCAATAATTATTAACCTATTTCCTTCAAGAAATAAAGTTTGTGAACCTTTACCCAAGCACATCTATATTTCTATATTGACCACATCCCTCAACTGTTTTAACCAGTGCACAGATTTTGGTTTAATCTGCAAATTTACCAACTGTACTGTCAAAATCACTGTCTGGATCATTCCTAAATACAAGGTAGAGTACGGAACTTATGAACAATCCCTGAGGAACATCACCAGTAATGTGGGTTTCGGTTGAGGCACATCCATTAGTTGCTACATTTTTGCTGTGGCATTACAGCCAATTCCTAATCGAGTGTTTGAAATTCCTGCTGATACAATCCTGCTAAATAACCTGGCATGAGATACCTAACCAAAGATTTTGGAACATCCAGGTAGAGAATACTTACTGGGATTCCCTCATCCACTATGCGAGTAACTTCTTCAAAGGACTGTTATCTAATATGTATAACACAGTCTATTTTTACAGAAGCCATTTTATGAACTTCAAATGAAATCTTCACATATTCCTCATACTATATCTTTGATCACCAACCTTTTCTGTTGATCAAAGAAGTAGTATGAGGAATATGTGAAGATTACACATAAAACTCCCAGAAAAATAGTAATTTATTGTGTTTTTGTGGGATGTGACCTGCAGGTTTATCAGACACATGTACACAAGCTGTGTTCTGTGTAATGTGTACACGGGTACCCAATATTCTTTCTCTGGAGTTCAGTTTTTTGGCATCAGACACCCTCCAGAATCTTACTGTAAATATTGGGATTTTTTTCTCATCTATGTTATTTTATTGATCTTTGGACACCCGAGGTGACGTACAGAATTTGCTGGGAAGGTGCTTTGATACACAATCTCTAATACAGAAGTGAAAATGCTATTATTTACAGAGAAGGCTGATACTTGATTTTTTTTTGCCACTGCCTATCCACAAAAGATTATTCGTAAAAGGGAATTGAAACCGGCTTTCCGTTCCATTCTCCCTTTCACGATATTCGCCCTTAATTCATGTATTTAAACAAATACACAGTATTCTCAATTGCAGCAATATAGCTAATTTAAACTTCATCTAAAACAATCACAGCACACTGTAATTTTAGCACAATATCGTGTGTAGCCTTTGTCTTTTCGACATTGCAAAGTCAAGGGTACATGATGGAAGTGTGATATAAATTCTGCAGCAACTGCAGAGTCGGTCAAACTACTTTCCTCATAGTCCGCATTCTGCAATCCCGTCACATCTCCACCCTCACTGCAGATGTCTACATAACACACATTTCATTATTCCTCTTCTCATGTTCTATTAAAGCTTTCAGTGTCCCTTGTGCTTTCTTCTTTGCTCATCCTTCTACAAAAATTAAAACATGTTAAATAGGTGAACTGATTTTATTTTAAAGTCACCCTTTTCCAAGATTTGATCTGTGAAAGATGAAGGGCGTGGTTTGACTGCTGGTGAAATTGAAGAATAGGGCTGCATGGCAAAGAAGATATTCCAATTCAAATCTCACCACTTGCTCAAGCGAAAGGTCCTCGCCCCTTTTCTCGTACATTCTGCGGTGATTTTTTTTGCGCAGTCCCTGAAACAGAATTTGTAACGTTAAAGCTGACGTGTTTTAAAATGCCAACATTTGCCCAATCCACTCTAACTGACATCTTCTCCCGCCACCTCCCTTCTTCCTCGGAGCCAATGTCAATGAAAGACTGGACTAAGGCCGGCCTCCATTAATATAAAAAGGCACTATCCGCCAACGTTTCCCATTCGGTTACTTGCATCGACTCGTTATTGTCGAGCGAAGTAACAGTCACATTCTTTGTAAGGTTATTCTTATCGTTATCGGACTTGAATAAAAATGGTAAGTATACAGTTTCATTTTTCATTCAAAACTAATTTATATTCCTTGCCGCCCATCATTTTGTTGGTGCACAAATGAACCAAAGTTAATCAGTAACTTTCATTTTATCGCTGTCGTGGTGCATTGTTTTTGAGGTGCAGTAGAGTTTGTAGTCGAAAACAGTGTTGCTTTGAAGTAGCTAATATAGCAACATTGTTTAGAATTGAAACTCACTGGCCTTTAAATATTCAATACTAAAGCTCGATGGCACTAGCGTTCCCTCTACCCCCTCCCCCAAAACGTAATTCTCCAGCATGTAAAATATTCTTTGTCTGGGAGAAATCATCTAATCGATTAATTTCGCTCGAGTGATGCGGAAAGAGTGATCCTTGTGTAGCATCCATGTGTGTAATGCGCTGCACTGGTTGTGGAGGGGGAGAGAAGAGGCGTCGCTCTGCTCTTTTTAAACGCGAAGTTTACCCGCGGGAATCAAGATGTTTCTTTTTCATCCGCTCGGTTTTAAAGCGCGCCAGCTCTTCATTTGTGAAGTGATTGAGTGATAAGCGCGCGAGTAAAGAAACACTGGGTGCGCAGTTTAAAACCTAGAGGGAGATTTGAGGGTGGAGACGGGTAGACAAAGCAATCATTCTCACTTTGTAACTTAAATTGCTCGGTTTTCTTGCAAAATGTTGAAAATCTCAGGCTAACAATGGCTGCCATGCCGTGTGTAAATGTGGCTCTGTGGTAAATCGGTCGGTAGATCAGTTCCAGCCGTGAAATGTACCCGTCTTTGCATCTATTCCATCTTTTGTTCAGCAATAAGTAGCTTCCCACAAGAAGAAAAATCTGGCGATGGACGGTGGCTCTTGGTGGATGGAGACACTTCATCGCGCAGTTCGGGTACTAACATGGCGGACCCGCTCTGGCCTGTAGGTGCCGCAGTGCGCACTACACCCTAGGTATTGTAGTTCTGTCACTGGTTCCCGCGCACACAAAGAAGCGGCGGGAAACTACACCCCCCAGAATTCTTTGTCGAAGCCTGGACCCGCTCACTGCGCGTGTGTTGCTTTTGCAGGTTCAGGCGCCAAGTGGAGCTAAAGCGCTTAAGGCAAACGTAAGAAAATTGAACATCTCCGACCTTAACCATTATCGCCAGTGCATCAGCCAAGGATGTTTTTAATATCGCTGTTCCTAACGACTACCGTTTAATGGTCGTCGTGGTCTTCGAGACTGCTGCTTCAACTAACATACAGGACACATATATCCTGAAGTGATTGTATGTCTAATGTTTCTTCGTTTCTCTCTCTTTCTCTTCCCCCACCCCGTTCTTTTTCTCTCCTACAGCGTGAGTGCATCAGTATCCATGTTGGCCAGGCTGGAGTCCAGATCGGAAATGCCTGCTGGGAGCTCTACTGCTTGGAACATGGCATCCAGCCTGATGGGCAGATGCCCAGTGACAAGACCATCGGAGGTGGAGATGATTCCTTCAACACCTTCTTCAGTGAGACAGGAGCAGGCAAACATGTTCCACGAGCTGTGTTTGTGGACTTGGAGCCAACTGTAATAGGTAGGTGATGGGCACGTGTAACGGTTACCTTGCAGACCTCTTCTCTGGTTATGCCAAATGAATCTGATTTCATCTCAGTTAAGTGTGTTAATGTATCACTGAAATCCCACTCTCTCTCCATCCTAGATGAGGTTCGTACTGGTACTTACCGCCAGCTGTTCCACCCTGAGCAGCTGATCACTGGGAAGGAAGATGCAGCTAATAACTATGCCCGTGGTCACTACACAATTGGCAAGGAGATCATTGACTTGGTTCTGGACCGAATCCGTAAACTGGTGAGTTGGATCTTACATTTGAATGTGATCCCTTTTTTATTTTTTTTTTAAACTTAAACCTTCAGTAAAAGTCACTGCTCAGTTTGTGAAGTGATGAAGGAAATGTTGACTCTTAATTGCGCACACTCTCTGTCAGTGTTCTGTAGAAAATTTCAGCTGTGTTCTTCCAATTGGGTCTGTTTTTATGTTTGTTGTTTTTTAAAATTAACTATACTGAACATAATGAATGTCTTGCAGAGCTACAAAGAGAGTGAGTCTCCATTTGATTCACCCAATTATGCTTAAGTGGTAGCGACTTTGTTTTAGACTAATATCCAAATGTATGGAGGAGTGATGGATGCTGCTTGAATCTTCTCTCTCTCCCTTTGGGAAAACACTTGGACAATGAAGAGAGCAGATGTTTACTGTAATTAACACTTGTGGTATTATTTATTTTCTTTTTAAAACAGGCTGACCAATGTACAGGTCTCCAAGGTTTCCTGGTCTTCCACAGCTTTGGCGGTGGCACTGGCTCTGGCTTTACATCTCTGCTGATGGAACGTCTCTCTGTTGACTATGGCAAGAAATCCAAGCTTGAATTCTCCATCTACCCAGCTCCCCAGGTGTCCACTGCAGTGGTAGAGCCTTACAATTCCATCCTGACCACCCACACTACCCTGGAACACTCCGATTGCGCTTTCATGGTCGACAACGAAGCCATCTATGACATCTGCCGAAGAAACCTAGACATTGAGAGGCCAACTTACACCAACCTGAACCGCCTCATCAGCCAGATAGTGTCCTCTATCACTGCCTCCCTTCGCTTTGATGGTGCCCTGAATGTTGATCTGACCGAGTTCCAGACCAACTTGGTGCCATACCCCCGTATCCACTTCCCCTTGGCCACCTATGCACCAGTTATCTCTGCTGAGAAGGCATATCATGAGCAGCTTTCTGTGTCTGAGATAACTAATGCTTGTTTTGAGCCAGCCAACCAGATGGTCAAATGTGACCCCCGCCATGGCAAGTACATGGCCTGCTGCCTCCTTTACCGTGGTGATGTAGTGCCAAAAGATGTCAATGCAGCTATTGCTACTATTAAAACCAAGCGTAGCATCCAGTTTGTGGATTGGTGTCCCACTGGTTTCAAGGTTGGTATCAACTACCAGCCTCCTACTGTGGTTCCTGGAGGTGACTTGGCCAAGGTTCAGCGGGCTGTGTGTATGCTGAGCAACACCACAGCTATTGCTGAAGCCTGGGCTCGCCTGGACCACAAGTTTGACCTGATGTATGCCAAGCGTGCCTTTGTTCACTGGTATGTTGGTGAAGGTATGGAGGAAGGAGAGTTCTCAGAAGCCCGTGAGGATATGGCTGCTTTAGAGAAGGATTATGAAGAAGTTGGTGTTGACTCTATTGAAGGGGAAGGAGAGGAGGAAGGGGAAGAATATTAACAAGTTTTTGACATTACATAACACTGCTGCTGTAACAGGGAGCCAAGATAGAAGTTAAATGTTGGTGAAGATTGACCAAATTGAATTGGGTCTCAATTTTCTATCATCCATTGGGCATTGCTGCATGGTTATGTCGATTTTGTTGTTTGCATTTTTGTATTAAGTAAATGCGCTGTTTATGTTTTTGGCTGCCCAGTGTTCAGTCTCTGCTAGATTGTACTTGAAACCCTCTTGAATTAACTTGAAGGCTTCAGTTCAGTGACCAGCTAATGTTTTTGTTAGTTTAAGTTGCAATGTGAGCTAAATGTAATGAGACCTACCAATTGAATGTGTAGCAATGTACATCTGAATTGAGATTGCTATGCAGCATTGTGAAAGCAAGTTGTCACAAATGTAACTCCTGTTCTGTCTTGATAGTATTATCAATAAATAAGATCCCTGTCATCTTTTGTCTTTGTTGCATTTTATGAGAAAATAAAGTGTGAATTTTTTTATCCTTTTCTTTAAAAAAAGAAAAAATTTAAGAGCCTCATCCCTTACTATACACACTTTTTAAGGCAATTTCAATATCTGAAATACTTGAGTGGTTTGTTTTTTCACTTTATCAGCAGTAACCTTACACAATTAATAGGTGACCAGGAGATTGCTATTTTTCAAATGTTGATAGTCCCAGCATGATGGGCACAAAATGATACCAACAACTTCACCCATTACTCAGTCCCAATTCCTGACCAGGAAGACAGGGTTAAACATGGAAGAATGAGTAAAACAGAATTTTGATTACTTATGGAAGGGGGTAAAAGTTGACCTTGAAGGAGTGCAATAGAGCTTCATAAGGCTGGTTTGCAAAGTGATGTACTTGACCCTCTGCCCAAAAAGAGTTAAGCAGACCTGGCCTCTGCATGGAGACTTAAAATTATAAAATTACAATATGAAAATGGGGGAAGAGGAGGAAACGAATCTTTTAGGAGCTTGACAAGCTAGATATTGAGACTACAGCTTCAACATGAAGGTTACAGTCCTTGAATTAAGTTGGTTATTTATGTCAAATGTTTGTGAATCTTGGGCTAGTTTGGGTTATTTGTGGTTTTCTTTTGTTGGGGGTGTGGGTGGGGGAATATGGGATATCCAAGATGGTAGAGTTAAAGTAGGAAAATTGGAGCTGGATTGGAATACCATTGTTTTACATGTTTCTGAATTGGAACACCACCACAAACCAATTTTTAGCAAAAAGTATTTTCAGCAAGGAACTTTTTTCTAATGGTTACTTTAACTTTGGGTTGTAAAAATGCTCCTAATGATTTAATCACCTTTAACTTCAGACACCTTGAATAGTTTATTCTGTGACAAGTGCTGAACTTAAGTACCAAAGAAAACCTCCTGACTAAACTTACCCACATCCCATTTTTAAAAAAAAAGTACCATTGGCAATGCCACCATTTGTTGCCCTTGAACTGAATTGCTTTCCACACCGTTTCAGAACAATTGAATCAGCCATTTTGGTGGTCTGCAGTCAAATGTGTCCTCCAAAGGACAATACCAGTTGGTTCTGCTATAATGTGTGTTCTGGCAACGCGAATTGGCTGTACCACAACTGACAAATTGGGGAATGCTATTTCTAAAACATGAACTTGTGTTGGCTATAATACAATTCCAGTGTTACGCAGAGTAAGTGTCAACATCACATCATTTCACGAGCTTTGTCCTGAGCACGTGCAACATTAGTGCTGAGAGAGTCTGTGTTGGTGTCACATGATCTATTTTGTGGGCTTGTATACAGTTTGACAGAAATTTCTCCCAGATTTTTTTTCAAGATTTTAAAGGCTTCGATCCATCAGAGGAGTTCCCAATGAAAGAACATTGATCCTCCAAAGTAAGTTGGATTTGAAGATGTGAAGAGTGAGGATGTTGAAGCGTGGTTTGAGTCCCACTGTGAAGAACTCTACAGCTGAGCTACAACAGCTTTTGGCTGAGGGGCAAGTGGAAGCTGGAGATGAAGAAGATGAAGTCTGAGATGCAACACCACAAGAGCTTTCCACTTCTGTTTTGTCTTCTATTCTGAGGGAAATTGAGAAGCAGTTGCAGCTCTTAGAGGACAGTGATTACAATGCAGAACACAGCAGGGTAGCAGTTTGTAAAATAAGATCTTATTTGGACCCTATGAACAGCTTCTTCATGAAAGAAGAGAAAGGGTAAAGCAGCAAAAACTGGATGTCTTTTTTAAGCCAACCCCCAAGAAACAGTCAGAAGACAATGAACCACAGCCATCCACGTCTGCATTAACTATTTTTCACTCTAACCCTGCAACCACAACTGCACCCGAAGGTGATGATGATGATGATGATGACGACTCTCAGGCCCTGCAAAACAAATGAGCAACCTCAAAACTTCCTCCTCCATCGAGTCATCATGACATTTTTTCAAGGTAAGGTGTTAAATTTACTTTTATTTCATTATTAGATATGAATTAAACACATATTCAAACTGTGCTATCCTTTGTGTTAGGCTTTTGAGTGCTTTTTTTTGGTGGTCTGTCCCTAACCCTACTTTTCCCATAGGCTCTGTTATTTCTATAGCACAATTTTCTATAACGCAATGTTGTGCAGGAACACAGCTATCACGTTATAGCAGAACTGATGGCAGTTAATTGGATGGGCTTTTACAACAATCAA